AAAAAATAATGATTTAAAATTTGTATGAATGTCGTGTTTTGAATTTATTTACTGGCAGGTAATATATATATATCCCAGACAGCGATATAATGTTAATAAAAAATTGTAGGAATGTTTTCATAGTTACATATACACAAATATTTTAATGATGATAGCTCCACGCCTATCTGGCTATCATCATCTGACTCATCTATACCTATGATAACGTGCATGTCCCCAGCCCCCTCACCAAAGATATTCTAGAAAATTATTTTACAGATAATTTGTTCGAATTTGTTTGATAAATATTAGAATTTGTTTGACATTAGTTTTTATACAATACCAAAAACTATGAGTAGGGGCTGGGGACATATGTCTACAGCCCCCACTAGTCTAAATAATTTGAATGTCTCATTTTTTTTTTACCATCGTTTTGTTTGACATTTGTTTGAATTTGTTTGACCAATTTCAAAACCCTCACTTTACCCCCACTCCCGCTATAAGCGAAAAACCTGATTTCCCGTGTCCCCAGCCCCCACGTTTCGAATATTTAACTTTTTTTTTTACTATCGTTTTGTTTAAATTTGTTTGACAAATTTTAATATCTTTATTTATTTTATTTATTTTTATTTAATTTAATTTTCATATATATATGAAATACTGGGTCCCACTGAGAAAACTCGTGTGGGGGCCCAGGAGTTCGAATAATATAATTACTTGCTCTAATACTATCTGTACTATAATCTCTCTCCCACTATATGAATAATAAATAAGTGTTGTTCTTTCATTTTTACGTATTATACAACGCATATCATAATTTTGGTAAGTAATTTAAATGTATAATATTGATCTAAATTGGTCAATGTATTAATATAAGATGTGGAAATATTGTCTTTATTTATTTATTTATTTATTTATTTTTATAAACGGACGTGAATCCTTAACAATTTTTTGTGTGTATACATGGTAATAATAATATATTATATAGTTATAATTTACAAATATAGACAAGAGTATTAAAAGAATAAATAACAACAAAGAAAGAAATAGGGCGAGACATGCTAAACAAAATCAAAGGTAATGTATTAAAGGTATGTAATATTACACATCATAAACCATAAACCATGCTATTAATACTAGAGCTCTTAAAACGCGTGTCACGGAATTCACGTGTCACGTGAAATACGTGTTCGTCCAAAATATATATCCATTTTTACAATTGTAAAATTAGTAATTTTATGTTATGTACTTGAAGGTTTAATATAATATTATTAGTACAGTATTAACCCATAAAGGTTATGCGTTTTTATTTTGGATTTTACACGTGACACGTGAATTCACGTGTATTAAGAACTCTAATTAATACTCGTATGTAATCAGTAGCGGTGAGTGAATAAAATGTACAGGGAGACTTTTAACTTTTGTTCAACTATTGGCTATTTTATTTATTTTTTTTTGGCTATTATACATTTTTATTTATCATTATTTTAATTCGATTCGATACGACGAAACGACGAAGTAAAACAATACTTTTTTTTCGATACCTATTCATATCAGTCCTTTCGTTTCGATATTTTATTCATATTGGTATTTTCATTCGATTCGATACCAAGTAAAAGTGTCGATACTTTTCCTTCGATACCACGTCCCTAACTGAGACTAGTCTCAGTGACTCCATACATAAACCATTATTGCTATGATTTGTCCCTCCGAAATTTTATATGACATCTATAATAATAAAATTGAGACTGCTGATCGACCGTCTCATTCGTTTTACGACCGCGTTGACCGTCGTTAATTGTTATCGATAATTTCAAAAATAGTGTAGTGTTGTTTTCCCAAACCGTATACGTATACATATATACATGCCATACGCGCACCACGACGGAAAGAATATTTATTCACACATACATATATATGTAGAGGTAGTTAATATTGTCGACAAAAGAAGTATTATATATAAATCGTACAAAAATATGAAAATATTTGGAAAAATTTTGTTTTGTCATGCTATAATTATTGTAGAGACCCTGTCTCAAAGTTTCCCCTGACACACCGCCACTGTATGTAATACAATGATAGGTTCTATTTTTAAATAGAAATAGAATCAAATAAATATAATTTAAAAATAACTTATTCTGTGGAAAAAATGTTACGGCTGGGGACACGGGAAAATTGACACATGTCAAACAAATTCTAATATTTATCAAACAAATTCGAACAAATTATCTGTAAAATAATTTTCTAGAATATCTTTGGTGAGGGGGCTGGGGACATGCACGTCCTATGATATTTATTCACCTACCTAAGTATATTCCTCAGAATACACATTTTTACATATAGTTATTAATTTACAAAAATACATTTTTCAAAAATCATTTAAATTATATACAATATAATTATATATATATATATATATATATATATTATTGTATTATTTATTGTATTATACATAATTAAAAATTAAGGCATTAACAAAAGCTATACTTAACAACTTTAAAAATTCTCATGAATATTTTTATAAAAAAATTGTTTTTATGACCAACGAGACCCCAGTGATTACTAATATTACTAGGTATAATATAGTATATCTGTACATACTAATTAAAAATAAGAAATCGCCCATATTTTTTGTTATAAAATATAATCATTTTACAATATAATGTAATATTCAATTATTATTGTATACGTGTTGTGCAGCATATCGCATAATGTAATAGCGGCGACATTTAATGAGTTAACTATAACTGCGCGGGTAATATCGCGATTACACCGCACGGCGCACAAGGTGCACAGCAGACGTCTGTAGGTGTGTATGGTAAACCCAGTTTTCTTATCGTAGCCCAGGCCGTTTATAAATAATACCGATAATGAAAAAAGTACAATATAGTTAATAATAGAAATATTAGGAATGAAACCATATTATTTGTTGTTCCCACATGTCAACAATTTTATAGATTTGGTTTATTTCGTCTTCGGTATTCAGTATTCACTGAATCCACTTTTACTCGATTATTATTCTGCGATCGCCATCCGTGTGCCGTTCTTGTTGATTTAATTTACCTACTTGTTTGTCGTCATTCATCGGTTACTCATCAATTTTATGTATTTTAACGTTCAATTTTAACTGTTAATACAATTTACAAGCAATATTGGTAAGTAAGATAATATACTAAGTACTTTAATTAATATACCTATAGTATTAAATATTACGAGGATTGTTTATTGGTGCCCGATCATAATTAACATATATAATTAAGTATTTATTAAATAAAATTATATATATACCTATTCTTAATTCTTATAATAGTACAAGAATCGTAATACATGACAAATGTTTCTGTTATAATATGGGTATACCTATAAACATCCATTGTAATTCAATATAATTTTTTATATTTGGTTTAATTATGTGCATACTAATATTTTTTTTTTTAATTTTTATTAGATATTTGTCTGCTAATCAGAAAATTAGCTTTTTACATCTGGGTTTATTGTATATCTTTAATACTGTAAGTATGTACAATACTTAAATATATATTTTTTATTATCTAAATATAAATATCAAAATAAGTATTATATTATTATATATTTTAATATTATAGATAATTGTTTCTAAATTAACTCAGTTATATGTTGAAATAGTTATTAATGAAAATGCATATTAACTGTAGGTAGTACCTACCTATATATATTAATAATAATAATAATAATTTTGTCAAAAATAAATTGAATTAATATAAGTAGATAAGTTACCTGGTAGGTTACTTGTAATGTTTAAATGTTAAATCATGTTTCCCTCTAAAGAACAGAAACAGGTATATTTACTATTAAAAAAAAAAAAAATTCATCAGACTATTAAAACAAAACTACTGTTATGAGATTACTTTTTTATAAAATATTCATCTTATTTTATTTATATTTATTGATTTGATACCATGGTAATAACTTATGATCTACTAATTTTATAAATAACATAACCATCTGTTGTTTGAATAAATGAGTTCCATTTATACTAAATAATTTTACCTATATTATGCATTCAACTCGCTTACGTTTCATATGCTTATATATTATTATTCATTGTGTATGTACATGTGCTTGTGACAACACATTAGGTATGTAATGCATTATTATTGATATTTCAGTTATAAATATGATAAAAAGTCAACGTTCTAAAAGACGAAAAATCAGGAATGATCTTACAATGTTCAATAATAATAACCCATCAGAAATGTATTCTCGTATAGAGTTGATTACCACCACTGATGATGAGTTGATAACCAGAAACTCTTTACCATGTCAATCCATCCAATCTAACGATGCATTAGTTTTAGAATCGGAATTAGAACCTGTAATATCAAATTGTTTGCCCACATCAATAGTTACTGTTCCGATATTGACTGAAATTACTGATGATCAATCAGAATCAGATAATATTAAGGATTTTATTGCTTCTTGGGCTGTTCAGTTTAAAATTCCTCATACGGCGCTCAACGGACTTCTATCTGGTTTAAAAAAACACAAATGTTTCCAAAGCCTTCCTCTTGATGCAAGAACTGTTTTATGTACCCCAACTCAAATTTCCAAAACTATTAAAACTATGAAACCTGGGATTTATCATCATTTTGGTTTGATTTCTGGTATTAAAAAATATGCTCTAGAAAATTTATCAGAGTTGAAAATTGCTGTTGGTATTGATGGTTTACCCTTAAGTAAAAGTAATGGAAATCAATTCTGGCCAATATTGGCGTATATTATTTCGGAATTTTCTACCAAAAAAGTATTTCCTATTGGAATTTACTATGGTCAAAGTAAACCAGAAGACAGCAATGAATTTCTTTCAGAATTTGTTGAAGAAGCTAACGATTTAATAACAAATGGAATTAGTATAAATAATGTCATTATCAAAGTATCTATAAGTTTTATTTGTTGTGATTCGCCAGCTAGAGCATTTATTTTACGTGTTAAAACACATTCAGGATTTCATTCTTGTACCCGTTGTTTTATTGACGGTGATTATCAAAAGAATAGAGTTTGTTTTCCATATTCTAATAGGAAATCTACTTTGAGGGATCACAATTCATATATAAATATGGTAGATGACGATTATCATACATCAGAATCTCCATCAGTTCTAGCCAAGTTGTATGATTTTGATTTAGTAAAATCATTCCCCCTTGACTACATGCATGTAGTTTGTTTGGGGGTAATGAAAAAGTTATTGTTACTTTGGAAATCCGGACCTTTGAAAATCCGTTTACCGTCCAGAGATATTAGAGATCTGTCAAAATCGTTATTGGCATTAAATACCGATATTTCATCTGATTTTGTTAGAAAGAGTAGAAGTCTCTTTGAAGTTGGACGCTGGAAAGCTGTTGAGCTACGATTTTTTTTACTTTATTCAGGACCAGTTGTTTTAAAAGCTAAATTAAATGATGAATGTTATTCTCATTTTATGTCTTTAAGCATTGCTATGATCATACTTCTTAGTCCAAATC